TTCATTAAATCCCATCTCAAGTAGAGCTTGCTCAACAGTATTTAACATACCAGATGGACCACTAACAATAATTTTTCCTTGTAACAAATCATAGCTTTCTCCAGAATTTGCTAGATCTGGATCAATAGTGAGTAATCGTGATTTTTTTGTCGACAATTCTGGCTTTAAATTGGATTCCGCATCAATTATACACTCTTCATATTTTTGGCTATCATCAGGTTGTATGATAGAAGTTTTCGATTCTTTCGAAAGAGGCAACGTACTTTCAGACCTGTATTGCAAGATTGGAGACAAAGCTTCTTCATAATGTGGCTGCATATATGGCGATTGAGGCTCTAACGTTGGTGAAGAACTCTGGCTTTGCGCAATTACTTTACGACGTATAGAATGACTCTCAAGAATCTTCATCTGAGACTTGCTAGGAGTTGAAAGGAATACACTCTGCATTAAATTCATCCATTCTTGTATTGTTTGTTTATCAATTCTTCCTTGCAAACCACCCCAATCTGAGGGCGGCTCTGAGAGACAATACGTTACAGTAAGTTGTCCTCGACTTGAAATCGCAATATCTTCGAGTAATTCACCATCAATAACATCTTCAATTTTACGGTTTCCAAATAATAAGTGCATCCGTTTATATGCAACATTTTTATTGGTATCATTTTTTTGTTTCATCGACTGTTCCAAATAATACTTGATTAACTGGTATAATAGATGTAAAAAAATTATTATAATACTATCATTGTATTGAGAGAATACGAATGTCAAATTACCTGTAGCATTGGCGTTATTCCGGTGCCACCTAAGGATGTAAAAAAGGTTATAGTCATTTTATGAGAACGTCAATGTATAACATTTATTTAATAAGAACTCAAGAAAATACCAGCAATCATATATAATTCGTCCCAGCAACCATCCGGACTATCCGGATTTAATAGAGACGTCTTCCCAGTAAGTCTGGTATAAGTGTTACAGAGTTTTGTGGGTGAAAAAATGATTGTTCCCTGAACAGGACTTAACGGTTCTGTTAGTGCAGACG